TACATGTATATATATATATATATATATATATATATAATTTATAGTTACAATTATTAATAATATTTTTAAATAACTGAATTTTACTGTTGTTATTTTCAACAGGACACCACTACAATTTAAAAAAAAAAAAATGTATAAAGAGATATATGGGACCTAGGTGAGATCTTGTTCAAAATTACCACATGTGTTGGCAAGCTGGGGGCTGGGTCCCCGTGGGGCTCGGGGCATGCTGGGAGCCTTCAAGCTGGCCTGATAAAGTGAGTCCAGCTCTGACAGCTCCTCACAGGGTGAGCCACGTCCCGACCATGCATAATTCTGGGAGTTGTAGTATCGATTGACATTCTCTGCCCATCGCTCCACGGGCATAGGGCCAGCTGGATGCTGATCCAGTGCTGGTGAAGATGGGGACGGAGGACAGGGGGATGAGGGGGAGCGGAGGTCTGATGGAGAGTACGGGGAGGACTCCATCACTGTAGGACGGCCATCAGGACGTTCCAGACTGTGACAGGACCAATTACGTGAGGGTGCCGGGAGTGATTTTTGACAGGCATCAGAAGTGTGGCTGTGGGGTGCGTGGGTTAGGCCATGGAGAGACTGAGGACGAGGCAGGTTTTGCAGTCCTTCCCCAGAGTTGGAGTGATCAGAGATGGAAGGTGTTTGACGGGCACTGAAATGAGATGGACTAGAGGGCGTATTGAGCGGAACTGATGACTTGAAAGGAGCCTCGCAGCCATTCACTGCAATCACAGGCACAGTGGCAGAACTGCGTATACTAGCAGTTTGTACAAGAGAGTTTGTGGTGGTTACAGGGTCTCTGGGACCCCACGTGTGTGACTGCGGCCCATTATCTGTCACACCAAGAGGACTGGACTTGTCCCCTGCATTGCCCTGCTGCTGGGAAAGTGTGTCTGTATGGTAGGAGACAGGAGGGCCGGGGGCTTCAGAAATCGGTTTATTTGTAGACTGAGGTTTCATGTGGACAGGTGATGGTGGTCTTAATGCATCTTCTGAAACTGACTTCTCATCCTCTTCTTTAACATTTGTCAGAAGTATTTGGACCGGGACAGACTGTTCACTAAATCCAGAACATGAAAAATAACAATGAGTTTCTGATAATAAATTATGTGAACCTACCTGAGTCAGTATCTTGAATCAGTTCTTGAGGATGCCATGCAGTATACAGATTTGTTTCAGCCTCTCTAACAACGTGACATTACCTGAGCAGCTCGTTCCAATATGATCTCTTACACTAACCTAGCTTTCAATCCTTAAAACAGAATTGATGATTATTATTTTTAGGCACAATGCATGTTTCCTCTTCTTGTGTGCAGGGCTCCTGGAGCACACACACACACATATACACAACTGCAGCCAGCAGCAGGTACCTGTGGAGCCGTTTCTGTTCCTTCTCTTCCTCCTGTTGCTTCTGCTGCAGTTCCTGCTGCTGCATGCGCTGCTGCAGACTTCGTGCTCTCCTCATGCACTTTTGCATCCTGCCCTGAGAGTTAGCGCTGCTCTCATGCAAGGTATGCCTGAGTTTAGCTACAACGCAAAAAAAAAAAAAAAAGGGGGGCAAAAGAAAAATGAAACAGATGCAGAAAATAAAGAACCGAGTCATGGGACGCATGCAAACACACATTACAAAAAAACTGAAATGAAAAGGGTCTTGAGGGGAGGGTCACACAAATAGGGAAGATGGGGAACCTAGTAAATTCCTTTACACAAATGTTAAATTCTCTCAAGCACAAAATGATTAAATTATAATAAAGTTGACTTAAATCAAAATGAATTGTAGTTCAGCCACTGAACACAAAAAAAAGCAAATTACACGAGCCTAACACCGCATCTCTGTATAATTAGTTATAAATAATTACAGAATTCTTTCCCCATCATATGAGCTGCAATCTACCCAGCCCTACAGAGACTCTGGAAACCATGAGGCTGGTGGGGGAGTGAGGTGTAGGTAACACACAGGGGCCAGGCCATGGAAGATGTGAGAGTGTTTGTGTGTGTGTGTGTCCGTGCATATGGTCACCACATAAATGACAAACCTCAGGGTATGACACACAAAAGACAGACAGACGTAAAATGACATTGGTAATTAAACGGTTTCCACATCAATCGCAGTCAGAAAGACACAGAGAGCATTTTATTGGCATTGATAGTTCTAGCCCAGGGGCTGGATTCACAAAAATCTTTTTAAGAAAGAAGTTAAGAAGTTTCTTAAGATAAATTCTAAGTAGTTTGTAAGAATGTTCGGAAGTGATGTCTCCTAGTTCGTAAGAATGTTCAGAAGTGCAATAAACAGGCTTGCAGGGGATTGTTTACGCAGACTAACTGATTGGATAAGTCCTACATCCTTCACCACAGAGATGTCTGTCATTTTCAAAATGTCATGTTATGACATTTTGATAAAAAATTATGAGGTCGAAATAAAAATAAATAAATAAAACAAGCATATGCTCAGATGAATTGCCCACAAGAAAATCTTAGTATGTGCTGAAAGCTGCAAAATTACAATTTATGTCAAAATTATACAATTAAAAAAGAGGTCCCTAATTTACTTATTACTGGTATTTATGATGGTTTTTAAGAACATTCTTTTCAAGAATTCAAATCCTTCTTAAGTTTTGTCTTTATAGCAATCTTAAGAAAAAATATAAACATTAAGAAACGTTTTTTTGGAATACAAAATATTATTAACTTTATTCTTAAGTTAGAAGTTAAGAATAAAATAGCAGTTAAGAATTCTTAAGAATGTTTTGTGAATCGGGCCCCCAGATTCTGGTCAATTCCTGTTACTTTAAAACACTTGCCTGTGGCTGTGCTTTATTGTAAATATAGTCATTGTTTAAGGGGCTGCATGCTAGGCACTGTATTGAAAAACCCATATAATTTGACCACTAATGTTTAAATGTAATAAATATATTAAGATGATCACATTTAAAAAGATTTCAATAACTGCAATAGAAAATGGTGACAGTGCTGTAGATAAGATTTGGAACTGAAACAAAGGTCAACAATTTTTGTTTATTAGCCAAGGGACAAGGTGATTAGCTGATGCAGATCTCAACACAATCACACATGACTAGCATTGACTATATTTAAAATACAGCAGAACTTATAGTGTACATCATACACTACACGCTGGGAATTCATTAAGGTTGCCATAGCGCTGGGCCCAGGTTGCACTTCTTTATGGCTGCTGGTGGGTTTCTATGGTTACAGGCAAACCGGCCTGTATCATTATGACCTCACAGCCAAACTCCAGAATATTCAAAATACCAAGGCATGTTGGCCCCTGTATATGCAGACTTAAACCATGACCCTACTATTGTCTGAAGGCAGACAGTAATATATAGTAAAAATGCAGCTATCTAGTGTATGAAAGCATTGCATTAGTGAGAGTTTCTATATGGAAACAGAAACAAACACATTCAAACACAGAGATGTACAGACACACAAACACATGGCAGAAGTGATAGCAGCAGCAGGCTAAGGGCAGGATTACTTACACATTGCTTCGTTAACCACAGACAGAGCAGCGGCCACCTCTCCTGCCTGTTCCAATCTCAGAGACTGGTCTAACAGAGACTCTGCCTCCAACACACACCTCTCAAAGCCTTCCCCTTTCCCTGCAGGTAACAAACATCATAGCACAGCGCTATTCAGCATGGAAACCAGCACACCTGCATTTCACACACACACACACACACACACACATGCAGTCCCAAGCTCCAAAGGATAAGCCACAGCAGAAACCCAAGGAAATGCATAAGGAGACAGAACCACTCCCTTCGCCCTTGAACGGCGTGCTGACGCCTCACCTTGGTTCTGGAGCTCATCCAGATCCATGAACTTGCTGGGTCGGGGATTGAAGCCCATGGCCACCTCTTTCTCCTTTTCCTTTCGCCTCTGTAACTCTTGCTCCCTGGCCCGGCGAGCTACTTCCTCCTGTAGCTCATCCAGTTCACTGCGGCCCTCGCCTGCCACACAAAATCACAAACATGAGAATATTAAGGAAACAGTCTAGGACAATCCATTGTTGCATTTACACAGTCAACCAATTCAGTTTTTTTTACTGACACCTTGGACATATATATGAGCTCTTTTTGAATCTCTACTATTAATGTAAACATAGTCCTAAGCAAATAGACAGGGAAAAAAAATGGATGCATTGTCAAAATATTGTATTTGTGCATTAAGCCTTGCAGTATGGTATCAGTGGCACATAGTTTTAATATGCACAAAATTCTACATATATAACAAACAGTAGGTGGTGACCAAAAGCATCTATTCTGGTCACATGGAGAAGCACAAACAGATATAGCAGTTGATAGTTCTCCAGGGCAGACTCATGTTCCTCAGTTTACATAACAGGTATACAGAGATAACATTTCACAGAAAGGAACAGGATGTATTTTGCAGCTGATTCTGCTCAATACTGCTTGCTTATTATATTAAGTTCATATACTGAAACAGCAAGAAGGGCATGTGACACCTAGTTTAAACATTTAGAAAGAATGGTTCATACCGTAAGGTAAAGAACAGGTGAAATTGCCCACATGTTGGCTGTATGATGACTATAAACACACATTCATACTGTACACACCTAAACTCATGTGACTGCTGCCCTTGACTGATGCTTTGACATCCTGTAGTAGGGCACTGCTGCTCTTGGATTTGGTGACAGTCTTCCATGATGGGCTGACATCAGGAGGAGGCTTTTTCATTCCTCCCTCTTGTAAACTGGAAAACAAAAAGAGAGATGAACGATGAGCTAACAAAAATCCTTATCAGTTCTGACAAGATTTTTTGCATCATACCTGTGCGTGCCATTACTGGCGCCCTCACTAACAGGCATGTCCAGACTGACGGGGCTGTTGCTGTTCCTCTCACTGCTCTCATAGCCACTCTCCATCCTCTGGATAAGCCGTGGGGGCTGCCCTGATCCTCGTCTCAGGGGTCCCGGTAGGTCTCGAAAGGTGGTCTTCCCCGTTGAGGCCACCAATTCCCCCTGAGGCCCTGGGTCTTCAGACAAGAGAGCTCCTAGCGGACTATACCCGGCCTGCTTGCGGCGTTCCCTGCTAAAGATGCTGTCGATGTTGAGGGCCTCTCGACGAGGCTTCCAGGGTGGACAGTACCGCCCTCCAGAGGAGCTGGACTTGGACTCGCTGCTGGTGCTGTCAGCTTCCCAGTCTCTGGCCTTAATGGTGGAGTCGGGTGGGCCAACAGAGCCCGAGGATGATGCGGAAAGCGGCCGATTACGGATAATGTTGCTCATAGTCTCCTTAAAGTCTCGAAGCCGACTGGAGCTAGGTTTAGGTAGGGAACGAGGAACCTGCTGCTCTTTTAAAGTCTCGCCTGTAAAAGAGAGGGAGAGGAAATCATAAAAAAAAAAAATTTAAAAAAGGAGGAAGGAGGAATGTTATTTTTACATAAGCTAATATTACTGAACACAGCCAGAACAAGCAACAGCGATGACTAATGCAGCTCGCATTTATTGTCCAACATGCTACTCAGTCCACTAATGATCTGTCAGAATCAATCAACTGACACAGTTACAGATTATTATCCAGGTTTAAAATAAAATAACACAGCAATGTTTGTGGTGTGGTGACAGCATTATATTGTTTAACTGCATACCTTCACTGTGGTAGCCGGCAGACAACACCTCATCTGTCTTAGCGCAACGACTTGAATCACCCCGGGCCTCGAATTTTCGGGGCCTGCTGGCACTTCGTTTCCTGTCCAAAATTCCTCCCTTTCTGTCTGAGACCCCATCTTGTCTGAGAGTGTGGCGTCGCACTGGATCGCTGTCAGGACCTTCACAAATGAATAACAACAAAAGTCACTGTTTCAGTTGTTGTAGAAGAGTAGGACAGGTGGCGCACATTTACTGTGAACCTAGGCACTCCGAGACACTGAAAACACTGGATCATGAACTGCTCATGTGTAAATGAACACAGTGCCATGCTTTACTCTGAAACACTCAAGCACTGTAATTATATCAAAGCCTTTGCAATTTGATAAATAACACTAAACCAGATCGACTATTAATTGTGCAGCCCTAAGCAGGGCATAAGACAAATAACATTAAAGGGGTCATATGATGCGATTTCAAATTTTCCTTTCTCTTTGGAGTGTTACAAGCTCTTGGTGCATAAAGAAGATCTGTAAAGTTGCAAAGACTAAAGTCTCAAATCCAAAGAGATATTCTTTATAAAAGTTAAGAGTTAACCACGCCTACCTAAAACGGCTCGTTCTAACACGTGAAGCGGAGAAAGGCGGGGCATAGAGGAGAAACAATAATGTACAGTATGTGGAAAATAATGTGTTTTTTTTACTTTAAACCGCATAAACACATTTCATTACACCATATACACAAAATAATGTTCTTTTTAGCAGCATCATATGACCCCTTTAAGTTAACTACTGTATGGATCAACTCAATGTCAATATACCTAATATGGTGTCTAAACTGTGTTTGATTCTAGGGTGAATGTATATACTGACGTACCTCTATTTTCCAGGCTGCTGTGGGAGGCAGAGTCATTGTCTGGGTTACAGATGACGGTTCCCTGGGAGTCAGAGGAGAAGTGGGAAGCCATAGACTCGTGGTGGGAGTGTGAATGCTTATAGCTGTAGCTGTCTGTGGAGGAGTCTGTCCGTGTGTCGCTGGAAATTGATGGCTCACGGCCTGACAAAACAAACAGAAGATGAAGAAAGAAAATAAGAGTGAGACTGAGAGAGTATAGTTTTAAAGCAGTTTAAATTATACATTTGACAGATTTTCAAAAATCAGTCCCTAAAAAGCTCAACCAAATTACTCTCACCTAGTGAAAAACTAAACAAAAGCAAAGACCTGTTTGAAATATTCTGGATACCCTGAATAACAAGGCTGAAACTGAAACTCAAGCCTGACATGTTTCCATTATTTTCAGACCAATCTTACCCTGACTCCATCTTCCCGAATGGACGATTTTCTCTACGCTCCCTCCATAACCAGACAGGATGTCCGAGCGAGCCGCAGTAACAGACAAGCATGCACGAAAACGTGAACGTGAGCGGGAGAGTGAGTTTTAGTGTATGTGTTTGGTTGCGGTGGACTATCATGGCGGTTTCTCTCTGTAGGCCACGCCCTGCCACTGTCCAGCTGGGGTTGTAAACAATAATGGGATATCCATGTTTTCAGAGGGCTAATGTAAGAGCTCTGCGCAGCTCACGTGCAGGTCAGCATAGGCTTGCCAGACCCCACAGAAAAAGCTGCTTAATTTGCAACTGTCTAGCACTGCTATTATGAAGATAAAATTCTGCAAGTTCAGAACTAAGGGAATGACACACCACTCTGAGTGACATAACACACATTATGTTTTTTCCAAGTAGTTTCAACAATTGCAGGAATTATACAGTAAACGTATCAATGTAAAAAGTAGGGATGCACAATATTATTGGTAATATCAATCTATTGCAGGGTTCCTCAAATCTTGCCCTGGAGGGCCAATGCGCTGCAGAGTTTAGCTCCAACCCTGATCAAACTCACCTACCTGTGATTTTCTAATGATCCTGAAGACATTGATTAGCTTGCTCAGGTGTGTTTGATTAGGGTTAGAGCTAAACTCTGCAGGAAAGTGGATCTCATGGGCCAGATTTGAGGATCCCTGGTTTATTGATTAGTATCAGCTGATAATGAAAATTTAATTGAGCATTCTCATTTACTCTATTTTTATATTCAGATTATCCTTGAGGTCATTAACTCTTACTGAAAGTTAATTTTTAAAAATACAAAAAATGTAACATGTTAAATGTATTCTTCAGAAATTCTCAAAATTAATATCCATTTGTCATACTGTACATTATAAAACATTGTTTTATTTCTTATTTAGGCAAAATAGTATAAAATTTTAGTATTTAATAACAATAATATTTAGGAATGTCCTGATCAGGTTTTTTGTGCGCCCAATCCAAGTCTTTGTATAGAGCACTGATGGGCAAACTTGGCCCTTCCAGGCCACTTTCCTGCAGAGATTTGATCCAACCCTGATAAAACTCACCTGCCTGTAGCCTTCTAGTAGTCTTGAAGACAATGATTAGCTGGTTCAGGTGTGTTTGATTAGAGTTGGAGCTAAACTCCAGCTGAAGGAAAGTGGCCTGGAAGGGCCAAGTTTGCCCACCCCTG